GCCGAGGTTCCACGTGATCCTTACCCGTCTCTGGCCACACGTCCAGCATAAACAGCCGCCATCCAAGGAAGACGGGGAGGGAGGAGATCAGCTGGGGACTCCATGCGCCCGACGTTGCCGGCCCACCACCTGCTCTAAGGTGACCAAGCAGGATCACTATGCTGTGGTTCAGTCAAGTTCTTAGGGGATCCTGCTTCATTTTTTAAACATTGTTTCATGCGTGCATACTATTGTTTCTGAGGTAGTAGCCTTAAAATCGGCTTTTTCATAGAGTTCTATAGTATGAGTTACAAATGTAGTTTTAGTCCTTCTAAAAAACTTAATTCTACTAAAAAACATTGATACCATATTGGTATATGTTATATTTGTTGTTGTTGAATGCTGCCAAGTTGGTTCCAGCTTATAGCGACCCTGCATAGGGTTTCCAAGGTAAGCTGGAACCACTGATCTTGTAGTTCAGACGAGCTTGCATTCCAGCATATTAACCCATGATGCCACACCAGGATTCCATATGTGATATGTTGTTGTTATGTGCCGTGGAGATGGTTCCGACTCATAGCTACCCTGTATAGGGTTTCCGAGGCTGTAAATCTTTACGGGAGCAGAAAGCCTCATCTTTATCCCGCGGAACAGCTGGTAGTTTCGAACTGCTGACCTTGCAGTTCACAGCCCGATTTGTAACCACTACGCTACAAGAGCTCTTTATATGTGATATAGGTCATATATAAATATGTATGTATACATATTTAATCATAAGGTTTTCAGTGAATAAATATTCAGAAGTAGTTCGCCATTCCTTCTTCCTAGTCTGTTCTTCGTGTAGGTAACCCTACTGGTATTTAAAATACTGGTGGCATAGCTTTCAGAATTGTGGCAACTCACAAGCTACCACAGTATGACAAACTGAGTGAAAAGTGGTGGCTTTTACTTATGCACCAACCACTAAAGCCAGTGAGGACGAAACAAAAGAATTCTACCAACTTCTTCAATTTGAAATTGATCAAACATGCAATCAAGATGTGTTGATCATTACTGGTGATTGGAATGCAAAGGTTGGGAGCAAAGAGGAAGGATCAGTAGTTGGAAAAGACCACCTTGGTGATAGAAATGATGCTGGAGATCGCATCATAGAATTCTACAAAATCAATGGTTTGTTCATTTCAAATAACTTCTTTAGACCACATAAGAGATGAATATACACATGGACCTCACCAGATGGAATACACAGAAATCAAATTGACTACACCTGTGGAAAGATAGGATGGAAAAGCTCCATATCATCAGTCAAGGCTAGTGGCAGATTGTGGAACAGACTATCAATTACTCATATGCAAATTCAAACTGAAGCTAAAGAAAATGAAAACGAGTGCACAGGAGCCAAAATATGACCTTGAATATATCCACCTGAATTTAGAGATCATCTGAAGAACAGATTTGATACTGTTGTTGCTAAGTGCCGTCGAGTCGGTTCCGACCCATAGCGACCCTGTACAGGGTTTCCGAGGCTGTAAATCTTTACGGGAGCAGAACGCCTCATCTTTC